GATATCAGCAAACACCGAGCGCATACATTGATAGGACACCACAGCCATGCTATCATCGCAAACACTGATAACAGCATAAATCGAATTAAATCGGGACTTGATGAGAGCTTCTGAGTATCACTAGAAATATTATAAACAGTCGTCTCTGTACCACAGTTTGCTATCAGTAAACACCGACAGCATTCACTGTTAGCATAGAACATCCATGTTAGCAGTGTATAAATGGATGGTTTAGCATATTAGCACAGGTATCAATAAAGGACTACTGTGGAGGTAAGCATCAACGACACAGCTCTCAGTTCTCACTCCTTCTTTATTCGTCTCCAACATCAACTGCGCATATCGCGCCACAAAACACAGGAACACACTTCCTATACACTGGGTGTCAGTGGAGCCCTCTAGTGGTCCACCACACTACCGTATTAAACACTTTTACTAACCTCAGGCAGACGGACAGGCGCTCTGCAGGTGGGATTGAGCGCCTGTAATTGGTGTCTAGGCAGGCGATGCTGGGACCGACGAGGGAAAGCAGGTCCTCAAACTGGCCGACGGTGATAGCGCTGGATTCGGCCGTCATCCAGGCGCAGCTCCTGGAGCAAATGGTGAAACTCACCAAACTGCTCACGCCTCTGGAGGACTTAATATACCCAGGTACGGCGAGGACGTCTTTTACGCTGCTGCTCTGCTCTCCACAGTAAATAGAGAAGGGAGACTCTCTCTTCAAGCGCTAGCTCGACAGCTGCCATCTTGCAAAGATACCGGTCTGGCACAACTTCCTCCCACATTCCTCCCACATTTCCGGTTCACGCGGCGATGGATTTTTCTTGGACACGCGTTGAGACGCGAATGTGCACGTGTCAAATAGGGGCGTTTGGGGCGTTTTGTTTGCGTCCATCGCGTTCGGTGTGAACACACCGTTAGAGTGGAGGAGACAGGCCTTGTATGTAAGGACTGCAGAACAAACCCAGCGAGAAGAGCCCGGAAGAACAGGACCTTAACAGTCATGATGGTATAATGTCTGAAAGCCGTCTGTCCGAAAGCAGCCCAGCGGCTAACAGCGGATGTTAACAGCTGATGCTAACAGCTGATGCTAACAGCTGACAGTCCAGAAAAATGCCAGCCAAACAGGTAAAGAAGAGAAACACTTTACCTGGCCACCCCTACCAGCCCTGCTACTTGATTTAACTCACAATCAAGTCTTGATCAGTTGACAGTGCTACTCCTTTTCTCATCTGAATGTCCAAGACATCTGGCCACAGAGCTGATGATATCATTACAAAAATGATCATCAATCATCAAACTGTAGTGTTCTGTTTACAAGTGCACCTGTGGACACTCAAGCTTAAACATGGTGTTTGTTATGGGCAGACTATGGTTAGCACAGATATCCAATAACAAAACACCACTCAGTAAGGTAAGGATCTACTCCTCCCAGTCACACCTTTCCAGATCACACTGCCATTGCTCATGTAAGCATTTTAGTCCCCTAAAAGCACAATTGATGCCCTGGTAAGGGCACCTTCCCAGACCCTGGGACTCCCAAAAGGCCTAGTATTCTGAACTGCTGTTAAGCACAAAAGGGCAAACAACAGTCAGAACCAGGGAAAAACGTAATGTACAGGCACCGAAATAGGAGCATGCAAATATGCCACCCCTGCCCAGTTCCTTTCACTGGAACAGAATCCAACCTCTCTACAGGAGACAGACTGTAGATCCTGTGCATTGAGGTAAGCCTAAATTTATCCGGTGAGTATTTCTCAACTCAGGTTCAGAAAGCTGAACATTATTGTTAATGCTGACTTAAATTATTTTTTAGAGGGTTTTTTTTTTCCATTGATATAAGATAAGTAAAGAGTGCTGCCATGTAGGGAAGGTGCTAAAGAACAGTAATTGGTTTGTTTTTGTTTCCCTTCATACCTCTTATTATGCAATCAGAGCAGGTTTTTGAAGACACAACATCTTATTTTTGCTTATCAATAAATTGTTTGAAAACTATGACTTGATGAGTTAGATTAGTATTTAATTTGTATAGCAACTTATTAATTATTTAGGTCCTAGTGGTTTAATATAAAATGACAACAATGCTGGATTCAAGATTAAAACACAGGCATTAGAAAATACAGACATGATTTTCTATGGATTACTATAGATATATTATTAACAAAAGTAGAAAAATCAGAAATGCATTTTGCATGTCTGATTTATAGTTAATACTCTGAAACTACCACAACTGTTTTCAGGTTAAAAAAAAATGCATTATAACAATATAATAGTGTCCAAATATCATGTATAAGACATTATATCATGAAACATTTGAGTCCAAATACTGCACAGAATTTCACGTTTCAACAGGTTAAAGTTCTCCACTAGTCCTGCATGCAGGTAGTCTTTATCCCTCAAGCTTGGGTCCTCTACCAGAGTCTTGGGAAACTGATGATCCTGTGAAGAATCTCTGTTGTTCTTAGGACTGCATTCTTCTAGACAGACATCTCAGATTTCATTTCTGAAACCTGCCGGAGCCACTGCCCCAATTTGGGAGGTCACTGGTGAAATGCTTTGATTACCACAGAGACCACCATTGCATTCTCCTTCCACATCTTCTCTAGCTCCTCTCTCAGCCTATGGTATTTCTAGAACTTTCTGCTATGTGAGATATTCACTAAGCATATGATCAGTTGTGGCTATCTCCTTATGTATCAGCTGGGTAATAACAGGGTCAAGCTTAGCAGACTTTCAGAAGGTACTTCATATAGTCTTAGTAACTGGCCAAAGAGGGGCCAGGTTTCCAGCTTAGCCATAATCTTCTGTCTCAGGTCAGCTGCTCTGGTATTCAACATGTCTTGGTATCCAATCTTGGAGTGTGTGTCATTTGTGGAAGATGACTTCACTTCTATGATCTGACTGCTCCACCTGCTGTTAACTCCAAGGGAAAGTCATTTTCACCTCAGAGGTATCTAGTTTTTACGTAATTGCATAAATAATAATAATAATAATAATAATAATAACAATAATAATAACTTTATCTATAAAGCGCTTTCAAATTGCTGTACAACTAAAGGGATAAATAAAATAAAAGCGATACATAGCAATACAGGTAAGAGACACAATACAAGTTAAAAACAATAAAAATTTAAAAACTAAAAGCCATAGAATTAAGACATATAGGATAAGGTGAACAAATGCGTCTTCAACTTAGTTTTAAAAACCTCCACAGAGCCTGCCTGCCGAATATCTTGAGGGATATGATTGATTGTATAATGTATCATTTTTTATATAAATACAAATCATATAAATTTCAATTTAATATTACTTATCTTAAAAGCAAAAACAAACAAAAAAGTGTTCATAACAAGTCATTTGAGTAATACCTTGGTGTGTAATTAATGGTACAATGTGTATTACCTCTGTATGTCCACATTATTACATCACTATTGAATAGTGCACAGTGCTTCCTGAAGTAGTTTATTAGAGGAGAACAGATAGATTAAAACAATAGTAATAGTAAGGCTATGCACACATTTCATACAAAATAAAGACTTACTCAAAGATGACCAAGAAAGGGGATGTCCTAGTGATCATTAAAAAAAATCTTGTCTGAAGAGCTATATAATCCAGTAAAAAAGCATTTCCACCCGTATACACACAACTGACATCAATGCGGGATGGATGATCTTATAATTTGTCTGGTATTGGCTGTGTGTTTGTTTCACCTGAACACAGCCTTGGCTGTGTGCCTAGATGATCTGAGTCAAAGGGCTATGCTTACAGGCGCCAAGGTTGGTACTGTGGAATCATCTGTGAATTGCAAGCTGCAGGGTAGCACACGTCCACCTGCATTCTCAAAGGATGGGGACTTCATTATTGGCGGCACTTTCTCCCTTCACTCTTACACGCAAACAGCTTATAATAAGTATACCAACATGCCTGCACCTGTGAAATGCAAAGGAAGGTTAGTAAGTGGAAGAAGAGGGTGCTACAAACACGTTGGACTATGTAAAATTAAAAATGTTTTCACATGTATGATGATTCATGGTATATAAGTATTTATAATATAATTCTTCTAACAATAGTAAGTCATTTAGATTTTTAAAATAGTGTTTTTGTGTTTTCAGAACTGAATTTTTACTTATATTATAAATATTTAACAGTAAATTGTTATCTATAATTTTATATTGATTTCTGGTCAGGCAGTGATTTGATGTACCTAAACTAGCTGTTTGCAACATTATTGCCGCTGAGCTGAATTTATCACGTATAATATCTTTACCTGAATTGACAGTCAAAATTTTAAAATGACATGATTGTTTACAGCATTGACACTGTTGAGCTGCAATCCACAAGTTCGATGGTCTTTGCCATAGAAGAGATTAACAACAGCACAGACCTGCTGCCTGGAATTGAGCTTGGTTATCGGATCTATGATTCATGTGCATCAGTACCTGTGGCAGTTCATGTGGCATTTCAGTTTTTAAATAGATTGGAGGCTCAGTTTAACACTGGTAAAAACTGCTCTCAGTCTGGTGTGGTGATGGCTGTTGTTGGTGACTCTGGGTCTACGCCATCTATTACCATGTCACAACTTGTTAGTGCTTTTAACATTGCTCAGGTAAATATTTTGCCTTTCTAGAAAACGTATTTGTTGACTGTTCGCGTTTGTGCAGCTGTTTCAGAGTTATTCTATTTTATTTTTTGTGATTTAGGTGAGCCACTTTGCCACATGTGCATGCTTATCTGACAAGCAGCAGTACCCAAGTTTTTTCAGAACAATTCCCAGTGACCAGTTTCAAGCTGAAGCACTAGCCAAGCTGGTGAAACACTTTGGCTGGACTTGGATAGGTGCTGTCCGGTCAGATTCAGATTATGGCAATAATGGCATGGCTTCTTTTCTCCAAGCAGCACAGAAAGAGGGGATCTGTGTGGAGTACTCTGTATCTTTCTATCGGACAAACCCACAGAGCAGATTTCAGAGAGTAGCAGATGTTATCCGCAGGTTTCTTTATCAAAGATAATTATTGTGCATTGACTTGTGTAATTACCTTTAAAATAAATGTTTGATCATGTGAAGACATTTAAAAAACATTTTCCTAATGCACTACATTGTCTCTCCAGGTCTACAGCTGTAGTTGTTGTGGCATTTGCATCTTTTGGAGACATGAAGATCCTGTTGGAGGAGCTATCACGTGACCCTTCCCCACCTCGCCAGTGGATAGGCAGTGAATCATGGGTAACAAGCACAGAATTAACACAGTACAGTTTCTGTGCTGGGGCCATTGGATTTGGTATTCCGAAGTCTGCAATCCCAGGTCTCAGAGACTTCCTGTTAAATCTGTCTCCCACTCAAGTGTCTGCCTCGCCAGTGTTTACTGAGTTCTGGGAGGATGCATTCAACTGCAGTCTGAAAAAAAGTAAGAGTTTCATTTGCTTTTAAATCATTTTCCCAAAATTGTAGTGTTACAACAGCTACTGCTGCTCATGTTTTTTCCACTAATGGTAATGGTCAAATATGAAGTGAACGCAGGCATATGTCTGCATATATTCTCCCTTGATATAATGACTTTTCAGGTCAAGTTCCAGTGGTTTAGTTTAATTTTTCTTGTATATCAATATAATTTTATCCATTTACAAATATAAGTCATTCTACTAAAATAATTTTCTAATATCTATGTAACAGGCCTGTAATCTAGTTTTACTTACAGGCTTGAAAACACTATTATCTGTGTTTTTGTAATTATAGCTCCTGCCATAGAGAAGAAAATGTGTGATGGAAATGAAGACATACAGAATCTCCAAAGCGAGTACACTGACACATCTCAGCTCAGAATTGCTAACATGGTGTATAAGGCTGTGTATGCAATAGCACATGCCATCCATAATGCAGTGTGTCAAAAAACAAATGCCATAGCAAAATGTGACAAACTAATCAAGTTACAGTCCAATCGGGTAAGCAGAACTGAACATGTTAATGCCAATGTCTTTCATAACTCCTAATATAACTTAGATAAAAAGAACTATCAATGTGTATTATTGCAATGTCCCATGTTCTTCTTTCTCTCTCTTACTGTCTTTACAGGTTTTAACTGAGCTGAAGAAAGTAAATTTTTCCCAAAATGAAAATGATGTGTCATTTAATGCTAATGGGGATCCTGTGGCTATTTATGACTTGGTTAACTGGCAGAAAAGTGGGAGTGGCATCATTGAGATAGTAACTGTAGGGCTGTATGATGCCTCACTACGAGTGGGCCACGAGTTTAAGATTAACAGAAACATAACCTGGATGGAGGATAGCAGAAAAGTAATGATGAGAATCTGACTTATTAAACTCTGGTGAACAAGTTGCTGCTACTTTATATCTGTAATATTTATATCTGTTATGCTACCTTGTCTTGACAGGTGCCAGTGTCAGTCTGTACTAACAGTTGTCCTCCAGGAACTCGTAAAATGCTGCAAAAAGGAAAACCTATCTGCTGCTATGACTGTATAGCATGTCCTGAGGGAGAGATCAGTAATATAACAGGTAAAATCAAATGTTTCTCCATGCATTTAAAATAATTTTATACTGGAAAAAATACAATTTACAATGATTTAATTCCTAGTAGCCTCTTATTGTTAGGATGCCTGGGTCGTTGACCCAGGGTTTTGAGTTTATATATCATTTATCATTTCTATTCTTTGGTTTCTTCGTTAGAGTTATGTCTTATGGTTTATGTCTCTGTGTAATCCTTAGTTGCTATATCCTGTGTCCAGTCAGTGTCTGTCTGCCCTGGTCCCATGTCTTTGTTCCCTCTGTTGCAGTGCCTGCATGTGAGTCTGTGTCTTTAGTTCAGTCTGTGTTATGTTTCCTGTTTTATTTTGAAGGTCCATGTCTGATGTTAATGTATCTGGTTTTGCGTCCCCTTGTCTCGTTAGGCCTGATTTGCCCCAGCTGTGTTTCCCTACTGTTACCCATTCCCTGATTGCTCCCCCTGTGTATTTAAGCCCTGTGTTTCTCTATGTCTGTGTTGTGATCTACCCCCATTTATGCTGTGTGTTCTGTCTTTATGCATGCCTGTGAAAGTTTATTTTGTATTTTCGGGTTTTGTCACGTTTTGTCATCCAGCAATAAAGCTGAGTTTTGAAGTATACTTTTGCCTGTCGAGGAGTCTGCACTTTGGGTCCTTTTCCTGCCTGCACACAGCTGTTACTTGACACTTATTGTTTTCTTTTCTCTCTTATTCAGATTCAGCTGACTGTTTACCCTGCCACAAAGAGTTCTGGCCTAATGCAAAGAGAGACACCTGTATCCCTAAGCCTCTAGAGTTTCTTTCATTTCAAGACATCCTAGGGATCATCCTGGCTACATTTTCAGTTCTTGGTGCTTGTCTGGCCATCATAATTGGGGCTGTATTCTTTTATCACAGGAAAACTCCAATTGTCCGAGCCAACAATTCTGAGCTGAGCTTCCTGCTGCTCATCTCACTGACTCTGTGTTTCTTATGTTCATTAACTTTCATTGGAGCACCATCAGAGTGGTCCTGCATGCTGCGTCACACTGCATTTGGCATAACCTTTGTACTCTGTATCTCCTGTGTACTTGGGAAAACTATAGTGGTTTTAATGGCTTTTAAAGCAACACTTCCAGGTAGCAATGTCATGAAATGGTTTGGTCCTCCACAGCAAAGAATGACTGTTGTGTCTTTCACCTTTATTCAAGTTTTAATATGTACTGTATGGTTGGTAGTGAGCCCTCCATTCCCAATTAAAAATCTAACCACATACAAGGAGAAAATCATCCTGGAATGTGCATTAGGCTCTGCTGTTGGCTTCTGGGCTGTGCTCGGTTACATAGGTCTGCTTGCTTCCTTTTGCTTCATTTTAGCTGTCTTAGCTCGCAAATTACCTGATAATTTCAATGAAGCCAAGCTTATCACTTTCAGCATGCTGATATTCTGTGCAGTGTGGATCACCTTTATCCCAGCATATGTCAGCTCTCCTGGGAAATTTACAGTGGTTGTGGAGATTTTTGCCATTCTGGCCTCCAGCTTTGGGCTAATAATATTTATATTTGCTCCAAAGTGTTTTATCATATTGTTTAAGCCTGCAAAGAACACTAAGAAATATTTAATGAACAAAAATCAGTCATAATATATTAATAATCTCAAAATGTTAATCTTCCAATCGTTCTTCATTCTGTAGTTAAATGAAATATTTACTACTTTTTTCTTAAATAAGTTCATATTCATATGCCATAATTTTTTCTGCATTTATTTATTTAGTGTATGAACATATATAATTAAAAATTAATTGTATGAATAAATGTAAAGTCACATTGAAACAGTGTGTTGTTCTGAGTTATTTCTCAATGGTCTGATACAATTTCTTGTAACATTTTGATTTCTTTTAGCATTTGAATTTGTATCAGTCACCAAGCCACCAAGTGCAAATATAATTTTAATGTGAACTGAGTAAATTCGGTCATAGTATGAATAGTATAAATAGCCCAAAAAATTAACACTGTTTTGTTTTTTTCTAAATTATATTTAAAGATTGCCAATTTTAGGCCATCCAGGGATGTGATTTCAAGGCATGTTTTTTCGTGACTTAAGACTAGACTTTACTGTAATCAGTTTAATTAAATTCATGTTTACTGTCTTAGCCTGAAGAAAAATGATATTTTTTGGTGTGCATAAAGTAAAGTGTAAAATTATAATATGCCTTCCCAGATTATCATTGACCCATCACCAAACCAGTCATGGTGAGCAATTTCACAGTCATACAACATTCTCCACAGTTTCTCCAGACCTTTTCACATTTATTACATGTACTCCGGGTGAACCTGCCGGAGTACACGTATGAAATGCACAGGGCGCTAGTGGTAGACCTGCCACTTTATGGCAAAAACCAAGTGGGTCCCCTTCATGCTGAGCTATGAGCACTGGGCCCAGTAGATTATATCAGACCCTTAGGCCACTGTCACGAAGTCTGCTTTTGATTATTTGGTCAGAAACATTCATAGTGGTGGTCTGTGAGGTAATTTTGTAGGCTGCTGCCTGTGCTCATCCCGTTTCTTATAGCACACAGGAAGAGATAACGATCTTGATGATGGGTTAAAGACCTTCTATGGCCCTGTCCAGCTCTCTTAGAGTAACTGTCTGTGTCCTGGAATCTCCTGTTCTTTAGACTGTCTTGGGAGACGCAACAACCCTTCTGGCAATGGCAGGTATTGATGTACCATCCCGAAAGAGTAGGACAGGGGTCTCCACTCTAGTCCTTGAGAGCTACAGCCCCAGTGGCATGTCTAGAAAATTTTTGTTGGGGAGGCCAGGTAGGGGCACAGATTTAGAGAAGGGTGGCAGATGTAATTGGCAGATAATGTTTAAAAAAATTCTACCAACCGTTAACCATAATTCAGTAACCCTATAAACCTAATAACCGAATGCACTTTTAACTCTTATTAGAATGAGATTTTAACCACTACGGTGCAAAGTTTTTAGATACTGCGTTGATAAAGTACAAGAGATACAATCAGTCAATGTTTATTCAGCAGTCAAGGACATCAATATTTGCATAGTATTTTTACTGACATGTAGTGCACATATGTTTTGGGCAAAAACATTTTTGAATATTAAACTACAAACATTTGTAACAAACAATTGACAAATTAGCCAATGGCAATGTAAAACTTTATGTGCCAATTAAAAAAAGAAGATAATCTTCTCACAAACTGGTGTTTGATTTTGAAACAGGAAAAAAGTGGGGAAACAAATGAAAAGACTATCATTTGAATAAAACCTGAAAGCAAGTAAATACTTTCTATGCTGCCTTATGGTAAACTTTGGTAATATTGATAAAGAACAACACTGGCTGATGATGAAAT